TTATTTATTGATGGTGTATAAGGCATCTATTGAAACGATTGCATGTGAAAATTATATTTTGGAAAAAAAATTGAAACATTTCAAAGATCTTATGATTTGGGTCTTGCTTGAAAGAGAAAAACAGAGTACAAATAAATATAATAATAATAATAATAATAATAATAATAATAATAATAATAATAATAATATGAGGTAAGATCAGCCCCCTCGCTAATGGTGTTCCGAAGAAGATTAAAAACTTGGATGTTTGAACGGGCATTCGGTTAAACAGTGCAATGAATGTGATGATTACAGGAATGGAAATTTGGACGACGGATTGGATCACGACTATAGTTATGAGATGCATTGTGTTGTCTAATGTTGTGTCAATATTGTATATTATGCTTTTATGGTTTTGAATTGTATATCGTTGATTGATTTTTATCCTTGTTGTAAACCGCGTTGGGTCGCCTGTTGGGCTGAGAAACTGCGGTATACAAGTAAAGTAAAGTAAATAAATAAATAAATAAATAAATAATAATCCAAATGTAGTTCCAACCAGAATAGACCCATTGCAATGAATAGGACTTGTTAGTTATTATTTAATAGTTCTGTTGATATCAATAGATTTAGCATAAAAGGTAAATGTTTCCCCTTGACATTAAGTCTAGTTGTGTCTGACTCGGGGGGGGGGGTGTTGTTCATCTCTATTTCTAAGCCAAGGAGCCAGCATTGTCCATAGACACTTCCAAGGTCATGTGGCCAGCATGACTATATGGAGTGCTGTTACCTTCCCGCAGAAGTGGTACCTATTGATCTACTCCCATTTGCATGTTTTTGAACTGCTGGGTTGGCAGGAGCTGGGCTAACAGCAAGAGCAGCGAGAACTCATCCTGATTCAAATCACTGACCTTTTGGTCAGCAAGTTCAGAAGCTCAGCGGTTTACCCCACTATGCCACCAGGGGCCCAGATTTATCGCAGCTGGATTAAAATCAGATTTAAACCTTGGTCGCAGGAAACGATTAGAATTTATATTCATCTCATATACTGGGGATTAGATTCTTACATGTCAACTGTAATCAGTCCCTGTTTATACATGCCTGTGTACCACTTAATTTGTTCCACATTAACTAAATTGTAAACACTAAATTTCTAAGTACCATCTGCAGTTTTATACATGTGGGGATTTTCTAGAACGTTTTCTATGCTTTAAATCAAATAAAATCTTAACTGACATGTTTATTTGACTATATATTACCTAACCCTAAAAAATAGGACATTTCAGTTCTATCTGCATTTCTGAAAAGTTTCCCTTATAAATTAAAGTATTGGAATTAAAATATTTTATTACGGAAATAATAATAATAATAATAATAATAATAATAATAATAATAATGTCCTCTTTTAATTTTGTAAATTAATGCTTTAGCATCTTTTTAAAAAAATATTGTAAAACACCTTGAATCCCATTCTGGAAGAAGGGCAGGATATAAATTCAATAAAAAATTGAATAGTTTTAAATATTACTGTATATTCAAAGCTCTACTCAGAAATTATCTTACTAGAATATTAAATGTTATCATTCAAGGTAATAGATAGATTGGAAGAGTTGCTTCACACTATATTTTTATTCTAACCTTTAAAAAGACTTTCTAGTGCTGTTCCCAAGTGGGGAGGGGGGGGGTGCAAATTGAATGAGCAGTTGAGCTTCTTACTACCAGGAACAAATCAGCTTGTTAACCATATGGTTATTCACAGCTAAGTCTGTTAATTTCAGGGGTGAAAAATCTACCAGTGCAGGACTCTTGCTAAATATACCAATTTAGGCTTGTACCAATTTCCTAGATAGGTTTTGTCCTCTGATCTGCATCATTACATTTTCATTCAATTTTGTGAATTAAGTTTATAGCATATTTTAAGGTATCTTTCTCTTCTAAGTGTATGTTTAAATGTATTTAAATGGCCTTCCTGTGGCTTGTTGAACAATCACAATTCTAATGCAATGGACATATGATATATAATATTTATTTATTTATTTATTTATTTCATCTACTTATACCCCGCCCTTCTCACCCCGGGGGGGACTCAGGGCGGCTTACAAAGGAGGCACAATTAGATGCCCAAATCACACAACAAACAATACAAAATATAACAGTTCAACAATTAAAATGAAACATCAATACCTATTAAAATCATAAAAACTATCTCATGTATAAATAAATATAAATATAATATACATATTTCTGATCCATGTAAACTGGGAACTATGTTCTGTGCCTCTCTGTAAACGCAAAGGTATCATTAGCCACTGATTTATCTACCTAGCTGATCAGTGTTTGATTTGTTCTGAGTGAGTTACGTACTCCCTAAAACAAATCGGAATCTTGGACCCACAGGTCTAATTCACAGGCTCAGAGGTGATTCTGGATAACACTTTCTTTAACCCTTCCCTAGTATACGGCCTCTGGTGGCACAGCGGGTTAAACTGCTGAGCTGCTGAATTTGCTGACCAGAAGGTCGGCGGTTCGAATCTTCGGGATGGGGTGAGCTCGTGCTGTTAGCCCCAGCTTCTGCCAATCTAGCAGTTCGAAAACATGCAAATGTGAGTAGATCAATAGGTACTGCTTCTGGGGGAAGGTAATGGCGCTCCATGCGGTCATGCCAGCCACATGACCTTGGAACTGTCTATGGACAATGCTGGCTCTTCGGCTTAGAAATGGAGATGAGCACCACCCCCCAGAGTCGGACTCAACTAGACTTAATGTCAGGGGAAACCTTTACTTTTGTTGTTGTTCATTCGTTCAGTCGTCTCCGACTCTTCGTGACCTCATGGACCAGCCCACGCCAGAGCTCCCTGTTGGCCGTCACCACCCCCAGCTCCTTCAAGGTCAATCCAGTCACTTCAAGGATGCCATCCATCCATCTTGCCCTTGGTCAGCCCCTCTTCCTTTTTCCTTCCATTTTCCCCAGCATCATTGTCTTCTCTAAGCTTTCCTTTCTTCTCATGATGTGGCCAAAGTACTTCATCTTGGCCTCAAACCCTAACCTTAACTTTTACCTTAGTATATGTTAAATATAGGGAACCCCCCTAAATTTCCTTTATTCTCCTGCTTTCTTCCATTCAGGACAGAGAGTGGTGAGTGAATGGGCCACCTCTACTTTGGTATTTGAAGTTATTGGTTAAGCCCTGACCAGGACAGAATCTAAGGGGACTGAGGGTGGCTTAACTACTTTTCCTCTTCTCTATATGGGACAGAGGGAGAGTGTATAAAGCCCACTGTCTCAGCCAATATTTGCAAGTACTTGCTGAATCCTGAGGTTAAGGCTGAACTAGTGCCTGTAGCTACTGAATACAAGTTGAGGATCCTTCATCCAAAATGCTTGGGACCAGAAGTAGTCTGTATTTTCATAATGACATATACATAATGAGGTGTCTTGAAGACGGGACCCAAATCTACACAAAAAGTTCATTTATGTTTCATAGACACTTTATCCCCATTGCCCAAAGGTAATTTTATTGTCAGTCGTGTGCATGAAACAAGGTTTGTGTATTTATTTATTTATTGTGTCAGAAGCAAATTGAGAATACAGTTATAATACAAATACAGTTATAATGCAAATTGTGAGTACAGTTGTTGTCTGTTTTTATATAGTTTTTATATTGTTTATATGGTTTTATACTGTTTATACTGTTGTTATTATTACATTGCTGTAATTGTATATTTATGTTTTGATGTGGGCGCCATGGGGTGCCACTTTGTTAGCTGTCCTGAGTCCCTCTGCGGAGTTTGAGAAAGGAGGGGATATAAAAGCTCTAAATAAAATAATAATAATAAATAATGTATAGAAAAACCACAAAGTTAAAAACTTAGTATTATACTAAATGTCCTTTGATCAGAAGTTGACCACTTGGAGTGCCCCTGGTGTCACTGTAAGAAGGTCCTCCATTGTGCATGTGGCAGGGCTCAGACTGCATTGTAGTAAGTGGTCTGTGATTTGCTCTTCTCCACACTCGCATATTGTGGACTCCACTTTGTAACCCCATTTCTTAAGGTTAGCTCTGCATCTTGTGGTGCCAGAGCACAGTCTGTTCAGGGTCTTCCAAGTCACCTAGTCTTCTGTGAGTTTCTCATCTGGTATCAGCCACCAATTGAGGTTCTGGGTTTTAACCTGCCACTTTTGGACTCTCGCTTGCTGAAGTGTTCCTGCAATTATCTCTGTAGATCTTAGGAAGCTATTCCTTGATCTTGAGGTTGGCTTGCTGGCTGCTATCCAAACAGGGGATGGGCTGGAGATGTCAACACCTTGGTCCTTTCATTACAGGCTGCTACGTCCCAACGGATGTTAGGTGGTGCAATACTGGCTAAACAGTACAATTTCTCCAGTGGTGTTGGGTGTAGACATCCTGTGATAATGCAACATGTCTCATTAAGAGATGTATCCCACACTGGGCATGTGTATTGAGCAACAGAGAAGCAAAGCACAAGGGCAGATATCTTCACTGTGTCTGGTTGTGATGCCCAGGTTGTGCCAGTCAGCTTTCGTATGATATTATTTCTAGCACCCAGTTTTTGCTTGATTATCAAGCAGTGCTTCTTGTAAATTAGAGAACGGTCCAGAGTAACTCCCAGATATTTGGGTATGCTGCAATGCTCCAGTGAGATTCCTTTGCTCATAGGTCGAGATGCTTACCTGTTCTTAAGATGTGTTTTGGATGGATTAGGAATCAGCTAGTTTTCCCTGAAATAAGCAGTAAGAGCATCTAAACCTTCGGAGAGCTTCTCTTCAACCATTTCAAAGCTCCCTGCTATCAAAAGTGGATTTTGGGTGACTGAGATTTTGTTATTCTGGCTAAGAGATGTTCAACTTTGTTCACCCACCCTCTTTCTTAATATATGTGTGTATATCGTGATCAGTACAGAAAATATTCTTTGGTATTTATATAAATTCAAACTTTTGAATGACTTAACAGTTAAGGATTTCTTGTCTTTCCACTACCTCATTTCCTTGATCATTTTAGGTATGGCCACGGCTATGAAATTTTTTGTGTCGCCTGCAATCACACCAAAACTATTATCGCCTCAGCATGCAAGGTAAGAAAAAGTAAAGATACCAAATTTGGATGATAGATGTGTTTACCCTAATTGTGCTAAGTGGCTTTAATACGACTAGGATAGGCCTGTTGGGTTAAACCAAAGGTGGGGAACTGTCTAAAAACCCATGGGCCAAATCTCTCTTGTGGACACCCCGTGGGGTATGCTCCCTTTTCTGCATGCCCAAATGTTTTCAAATTGGTGACCATTTTGAAAATAGAGACATTAGGAGTAGGAGTTTTGGGGGATGGCACAATCTGTGATGGATGAAGGTGCTTTTATGCATATTTGAACATTTGGTAGAATTTCTTTGGGTGAAAACTTTCCTAAACCCCAGCAATAAAAAGAGATGGTGCCTTTTGAGGGACCTACAGGAGATGTAAGGGGCTGTAAAAGCATGGTCTAGGTGGACCATTTCTTTTCCTGACCTCTGGATTAAACTAAAAATGTAAATGTAAAAAGCAGAATGTAGCTAGATGCTTCAGAGAATTCTGCAAACACCCTCAATACCCCTTCTCCAGAGACTAATTTTATTTTATTTATTTACTGTATTTGTATACCGCCCTTCTCAGCCCTCAGGTGACTCGATGATTCGATGTCCAAAAACACCATAAAACATTTAAAAACACTAATACATAATATAAAAACATAACAAGAATATTAAAACATAGATCATTTGCATCTTTTAATAAAAAAACATTGTCCCATCTCGTTGTCCAGTCGTTCCAATTCCTATGTCTTTTACCTTGAATTTTCAAATGCTTGCTCAAGCCAGCAATGACAAAGGAGAAGCCTTTCCTTGTGTTTGTGTGTCTCATTGTATGTGATTGTAAAGCATTGAATGTTTGCCTATGTCTGGTGTAAATGCTGTAATCCGCTCTGAGTCCTCTAGGGGAGAAGGGCAGAATATAAATAAAGTGTGTTGTTGTTGTTGTTGTTGTAGGTACCACTTCTATACTCCATGCAGTCATTCTGGCCACATGACCTTGGAGGTGTCTATAGACAATACTGGCTCTTTGGCTTAGAAACGGACATGACTAGACATAATGTTGGGAAAAGCTTTACCTTTACCTTTTACTGAGCATTACTTTTAATGCATTTTAGGGCTTGTGACACATCACTGGTTTCTATTATTTGTATAAATGCAATGTTATTTTCAAATGCAAAGAAAAAGAAACAAAATTCCTGCAGACAAAGTGTTTTTTCATTAAAAAAAGTTCAGAGCCCATTCACCTTTCCTCCAACCATTATACCACTCAGATTTTACTGTCCGTATAGTTGTTTTTCAAGGTTGCCTTTGCTCATTCACAGTTTTTATTGTTCTCCATTTTACAGGCTTCTAAGAAAGAACATGCAGCCATTATTTTGTGGAGCACTCGAACTTGGAAGCAGCTGCAGAGCTTACCTTTCCACAATCTGACGGTGACACAGCTTTCTTTTTCCCCCAATGATGAATTCTTACTAGCAGTTTCAAGAGACAGAAAATGGTCACTCTGGAAATGTAAAGATATCGATCCAACAGAATCAGGTAATATACTGGAATTGATATTACTGGAAGAAAATGACTGTTGTGACTTATAAAATGAATTGTCTTTTAATTCTGGGAGTTGTAGTTCAAGCATTACGCAAAGTAAGCCGTTGCGGTACACTTTATTTTGCCAGGGGTGCCGAGAGCGAGGGACGCGGGAAGCTAGCAGAGGCCAGAGGAACCCTGCTGCTGGTGGTATCGAAGCCTGCCGCTCCTACTCCTCCCCATCCTCCTCCTTCTCCGCCTCCACCACCAGCAGCAGCAGCATGGTCCCTCTTCCTCCTCGTCCCCGCCGAGCAGTGCAGCCTGCTGCTCTTGCCCCGGCTGCTCTTGCCCCGCCCCTGTGGATGGCCCCTCCCACCGCAAGCGCCCCCCGTTACTCCAGGGTTGAGAGGGAGCCAGGGGCGGGGACAGCTCAGCTGGCCATTACCCCCGCCAGTCTCCCCATCCTCCGTCCCTTTCTCTTCCTCCTCCTCAGGCTGCGCCGCTCGGAGATGCCGAGGGCAAGGGGGGAGGAAGAGGAGGAGGAGCAGCAGGCCCCGTTATCAGGGAGACTGGTGGGGGTGGTGGCCAGCTGAGCTGTCCCCGCCCCCGGCTCCTTCTCAAGATTGGACTGACTGGGCGGTGGCGGCAGGAAGGGCCATCCATGCGGGCGGGGCAAGAGAGGCCGGGGTGACTTCTCCCGCCGACCTCCTCACTCCACTCTCGGCCACGCAGTGTAGAGGGAAGTTTAGGGCCCTTCTGCACGACTATATAATCCAGAATATGAATGGCAGGGGGATGTGCAAAAAACCCCCCCAAAAAAACCAGAGTTGAGTTTTTTTTCTTTTTCTTATTTTTTTTTCTTCCATATTATTTGCTTTGAACTGGATTATAACAGGCGGTCGTGCCGGCACCGCCTGTAGGCCTGTAGGATTTTTGTAGGCGAGTAGATGGTGACTACTGGATGGCATATATTCTGTATCAGAAGCTAGAGCTGATTGGTCTAACCAATGCAATTTTCTGAATCAGCACCCCAAATAACCAAACCGAATGACCAAAAACTGATTTGTAACCCTATTGGTACTAATGTTGGAGAGTGGTCCCTGATCAAAGTGATCCCTGGTCAAGTGGTTCCTGGTCAAAAAAAGGTTGGGAACCACTGGTTTAGAGGGTGTTTGCCTTTACTTTCCTCTAAGACTGAGAGAGAATGAGACCTGCCCAAAGCCATCAAATGGGATTCTGTGGCTGATCAGGGAATTAAAATCTGATTTTAGAGTCATAGTCCAATAGTCATTTGATGAAATGGTTAAAATTGACTGATGTATAGTCTATTTTCCTTTTGTACTAAAATCCCTCCCTAGGTAGTAAGAGGAAATTTCATTGTAGCCTATTTTATCCTAACTGAAATGTCTACATAGAAAGAAATTCTACATGGATAGAATAGACCTATCAGAGATGCTAGAAGCAGAGAAGAACCAGAGCAGTTGCCCTCTCATCAGTGTTGCTCCATCCATATTCTGACTTTTAAATTTCCACTCCTGTTGACAATATACTGCCTCCATGGCTGGCACATTTTCTTTTTCTTTTTCTTTTCTTTTCTTTTCTTTTCTTTCCTTTCCTTGCAGAATCTGGAGTTGTTACCTTTTTGGACTACAACTGCTAGAATTTCCCAGCTGAAATGTGGTGGCTAGTCAAGTGTTCCAGCTGAATTCTTTTATTATTTTTTAATACTACCGTATTTTCCGGCATACTAGGCGACTGGGTGCATAAGACGACCCCCCAACTTTTCAATATAAAATTTCAATTTTTGGATATACTTGCCCTATTTGATGGGCCCTCTTGCCAGCTCCTTCAGGCCCCAAAGCCTCCTTTCCTGGGCTTTGAGGCGGCTTCTTGGCTCCATAGAAGTGGCCTCCCCTCCACTGGCAGTCAGGCCCCGCCACAGCCAGCCAACCGCCATGCTCATCATTTCCTGTTTTGCATCCAAAACATCACTTCCTGTTTTGGATCCAAAACAAGATGGAGGCTCCTAACAGGCAAGGGAGGTGGGCAGCTGCCCTGTGCTGGAGCAGGGCGCCCAAAGCATCAGCAGCTGCTGTGCTCCACCAGCGCTGCTTGTCTCCCGCTGGTGTTCTTCTTCTACTCTATGCCCACCTTGGCTGTCCATACAGTGGCGGAGGAGGAGGTGATATACTCGCCGGCTGACCATGTCTCCTCCTCCTCCGCCGCCGCATTGACAGCCCAGGCGGAGCCCCTCGGTGAAGCTGAAGCCTGGCAGCGGGAGACAAGCGGAACCTGAGGGCTGCCCTCTGGTGCCACTTGTCTCCCGCTGCTGAGATTCAGTTTCACCGAGGTGCTCTTCCACTCCAGGCCTGCCTTGGCTGTCCGTGCGGTGGCGGAGGAGAAGGAGGCAACGCAGCCATCCGGCGAGTATATCGCCCCCTCCGCTGCTGCACGGACAGCCAAAGTGGGGACAGAGTGGAAGAGCCCCTCAGTGAAGCTAAAGCCTAGCAGCGGGAGACAATCAGCGCTGGAGGAGCGCAGCAGCTGCTGCTTTGGGCGGCCTGCTCCAGCGCAGGGCAGCTGCCCCCCTCTCTCACCTGGACCCAAAACAGGAAGTGATTTTTTATACCCGGCGTACTAGACGACCCCCAAGCTCAGCAAGGATTTTCCAGAGTTAAAAATCGTCTAGTATGCCAGAAAATAAGGTAAATTTGCCTAAAGCCTCTGGGATGCCCTCCCAGATAATGTAGAAATTCCAGCTTCAACAAATCAATTTTGGCTGCATGTACACATGGAAAGAGTTTGTCAGAAATCAAGTCTTGTCAAATTTATTCTGGTTGGAAGCACCTGGAAACCATGAGGGTTCTGTTTTCTCAACCAATGTACTGTACTTGATGTGTCTCCCAGTACCATACATAAAAATAAAAACAAGATGCAAACGTGAAAATGCCAGAGCAGTACCTGTGCCTGAGGCAGAACTCATAATAATATGCATTTATACAACACCTGGAACATGATTTTTACAATTCTGTATGATCAGTGAATATTATTACCCACAGATTGCAGATAGGATGCAGAGCGGGTTAGCCAGAGGTAATATTACTGAGTTCAGGAGAATTTTGAACTAGGGGTGTCCTTATTCTCAAGGCCACACCATTGATTATTTCATTACACTAGCAAAAAAGGCAATGCTGGCTCTCTGCAAGAAGTTTGTTATTTACCATTGGAAAGATTGGCTCCTTTTTATTCAAGCTTTGCATATTCTTCCAAATGTTGATCAAATGATAGCAGTAAGCATGATTTATGTCCACATAGCTGTAACATTAAATTATGATTAAGGCAAGGGAAGAAAGTTGGGAATTTGCACTGAAAAGGAGAAAGAAAACATCCTTGCTGAAGACTGTAAATCATTTCATAGTATACATTCATAGTAACATGTTTCTACTTGAATCACCATGGTTTTATCTTCTAAAATTATGGGATTTCTGTTGAAGGGAGAAGGGAATGGCATTTAGAAAGGAGTAATGGCAATTAAAGTGGAATAAGGTAAAAGGTAAAGGTTTCCCCTTGACATTAAATCTAGTCGTGCTCAACTCTGGGAGGTGGTGCCCATCTTCAATTCTAAGCTGAAGAGCTGGCATTGTCTGTAGACAACTCCAAGGTCATGTGGCCAGCATGACTGCATGGAGTGCCTTTACCTTCCCACCGGAGTGGTACCTATTGATCTACTCACATTTGCATGTTTTTGAACTCTTCAGTCAGCAGAAGCTGGGCCTAACAGTGGGAGCTCACCCCACTCGCTGGATTCAATTTGTTTCATATAGCTCCTCATTATGTTTGCGTGACACACCCTACAGCCTATGAGACATAGTTTGGAAAGCTCTCTCTAAATTACTTTAACATTGCAATTTCCGTAACAAATGTGTGAAGAGTATTTATATTTATCATTTCAGAACCAACTTTTTACCTTTTTGCTTGCACTGACCCTAACGTAGCTGGGCACAGTCGCATCATTTGGTCCTGTGACTGGACGGCAGATAGCAAGTACTTTATTACTGGAAGCAGAGACAGAAAGGTAATGTATTGCACAGGTGGCTCCTTTGTTACCTGTTCATAATTTATTATATTCTTCCAAGTGCTATCTGGTGGTCATGTTACACTCTCCACAGCCCTTTCTGTGTGTCCCAACTGGGGTAGAGCATGGATGGGGGGTGGCAGAGAGAAACAGGATTGTTTTGGTGGTTTATACTGAGAGACAGGGCCTTCTCAGTGGTAGCTCCTCAGCTGTGGAACTCTTTCTCCAGCGATATTAGATCAGACCCTTTCCTCCTGGCCTTCAGAAAGAGAGTGAAAATGTGGCTTTGGGATCAAGCCTTTGGAGGATAATATAGAATTAATGCAGTTTGACACCACTTTAACTGCCAAGGTTTGATGCTATAGAATCGTGGGAGTTGTTGTTTTAGAGGATCTTTAGCCTTCTGTGCCAGAGTGCTGGTTCTCAACAAACTACAAATTTCAGATTTCCATATCATTAAGCCATGACAGTGTAGACGCAACCTAGAATTCCTGTCCCTAAGAGGTTAGGCTGGTACCTACTTTGACTCTGTTTCTCCATATAGCAAAGTCCTTCTGCTCAGTCAGATATTCACTTCTTGAGTTTGATGCAATGTATATCTATTATTAATCTGTTTTTAAACTAACATTTGTAACTGTATTGATTTGCTTTTAGCATCTGCTGACTGCTCTGAGAATTACACAATGCACCCATCTTTGTCCCGGTCCCCTGGGCTCGATACCTGTTGAATTAATGCACCTGAAGCATTAATTCAGTTGGTAGTCCATACTCTGGTTACATCCCAAATAGACTACTGCAACATGCTCTATATAGGGTTGTCTTTGAAGACTGTTCAGAATCTCCAAATGGTCCAATGGGCGACAGCCAGATTGCTCACTGGAGTGGCGTACAGGGAGCATACCATCCCCTTGTTACGTGAGCTGAACTGGATACCAGTCTGCTACTGGCTTTGGCCTATAAAGCCCTAAATGGTTCCATCCCAGCTTATCTGTCTGAATGCATCTCCCCCATGAACCATCTTGGAGATTAAGATAATCTGGGAAGGCCCTGCTCTTGGTCCCGCCTCCTTCACAGGCACGATTGGTGGGAATGAGAGACAGGGCCTTCTCAGTGGTGGCTCCTCAGCTGTGGAACTCTTTCTCCAGCGATATTAGATCAGACCCTTTCCTCCTGGCCTTCAGAAAGAGAGTGAAAATGTGGCTTTGGGATCAAGCCTTTGGAGGACAATATAGTGAAATAGATGGATTTAGTATTATTTTATTTATTTACGACATTTATATGCCGCCCGTCTCACCCCAAAGGGGACTCAGAGCGGCTTACAAGATATATATACATACAATATATTATATTATTAGCATAGTACAATATCAGTATTATATATTACTATATTGTACTATACCATTATATTGTAATATTAGTAATATAACATATAATATAATATATATAATTATAATATTATTATTAGTAGTAGTAGTATATTGTATTACATTATAATATTGTAAATACTATATGTATGTACAATATATTACATTGCATTATATTATGTAATGTAATATATTGTATATACATACAATTACTACTATAAACCACACTATTCGCAGTCATAATCAAGGCCATTGTGGTAGTCATTGCACATAATATAATATATTATGTGTAATTGTAAGGGATCACGGGTTTAGGGTGCGATAGTCCAATAGGTTCAGGTAAGGCATCGTTTATTCAAGCTGATCAGCATGAGGCGAACAGACAGCACTTCTGTAAGTGCTTCCACAGACTGCCACGCACCTCCTCGGCTTTTGCAAATGTTTATACTCAGGTAATATAAGGGGTTTTTGGTCATGGCAAGTACTCTCTTTCCAACCCTCCCCCCCCCGACCTTTTGATGGAAAGTACCTTCTTGCGCCTGCAGACTTTGCGCTTAACCACAACCCAGCTTCCTATGTAAGCTCGAACTTTGTATGACCTCTACATGTCACCTCTTGTTTTTAAAACATTTTCTTCCCTGCTGCTAATTTCATTTAAAGCCCCTTGCTTAGCTATTGCTAATTTCACTCAAAGACCCTTTCACAATGACTACCAGAATGGCCTTGATTATGATTGCGAATCATGTGGTTTATAGTAGTAATTGTAATGTTTTTTAAATGTTTTAATGTATTTTAACCTTGATTTTAATTTTAATTTAAATGTTTATTTTAATTTTACATTGTTTTTTAAGGCATTGAATTGTTGCCTGTGTGGTAAGCTGCCTTGAGTCCCCTTCAGGGTCGGGAAAGATGGGATATAAATATAGTAAACAAATAAACAATGATTACCCATATTGAGGATTTAGTATTGTGCTATTATAATAAAACCTGTAGTGCCATTGGCCCCTGCCAACAGGAGCTTAAAGTCTAAAGTCTGGCAGCAGAAATAGAACAAGAGGGTAGGCAGGGGGCAAAAAATGTGATGATAAGATGTGATGAGTATCCGTAACTGTGGATAGATGTTCTGGGAAGGAATGAAAAGGGGGATGCCAGCCAATAATTGGATTGTTGAAGCATCGAAGACTAATGGGATGCTCATTTATACTCTCCTCCATAGACATCTGTATATGCTTATATTTTATCCAGTCCTGGTTTGTAGTTTGTGATTAGAGACTTTGGCCTCACTGCTGACAGAGGAAACATGAACTTTAGATCTTGCCGTCTTTATATACGGATGCTGCTAACAAGCAATTTCTTTTAAACATCATTCTCGTCGCAGGAAAAAAAATCTTCCATGCTCTTGGTTGTTATCTTTCCTTAAGCTGCCTGCAGTATTCTGCAATATCCTTTCTTTATTGGAAATGAACAGATTTCCAAATAATCCTTAACAGTCAGTCCCTTACTTTTATACCTTGTACAACAGTAGAATGTACTTTTTTGTGATATGATTTGCTTAGTGGTCACGGTTTTCATAGAGCCAAAGCTTCCATGACGTCCACCAGGAACTCTGCCAGTTTTATCTCTAGCTACTTTTATCATTGAGTGGCTAACAGTCTTGAAATTGTAGCTTTTTCCTCAAATTCACTCTCATCGAAGGCCCATAGGTCTCTTTCCACCAAGGCATGAAGTTATTGTTTAAATTACTGCTCACTTTTTCTACAGATCTAAGCCAGCGTTTGGGTTGTGACCTTAAAAAAAAATCTTCCGGCTGGAAGGATTGCCTTTGACTATTTCTGAATTGGCTGTGACCAGTTACCTTACTGACAGATCTAAGGATTGTGATAGATTGGTGACGTTGCTTCTTTTTTGAGGGTTTCCTTTGACATGTTGCAGTACCTAAATTAGCCTTAAGCATTTGGGAAACGAATGGAGAGCATTGTATATGACGTGAGCAAGCAAAAACAAAGAAAATGAATTTTTTTTGCCTTTGGGTGCAGCCAGCAGCTATCTCTTGTACATCATACCAGTGACGACAGTGGGAGGACTAGCTATTTATAGTCAGACATACTTCTGTGCCAGTTTTCTGTTATATCTTGCGTTTTTAAAAAGCTGTCTTTCCTTTCCTTTCATTATGGAGGAAAATTGCCGTGAAATAGTGTGTAGTCGTAAAATAAACAAGGAATCCCTTTGCAACTTAAATATAACTGCAGAATGGCATAAACCCACTCTGTGAGATGCCACAACAGTCACAAAATGTATACCATAGGACCTTGTGTCTTTTAGATGTCACAGCACACTATTGCTGTGGTACTTCGTGACCGTATCTCCCTCCATGAACCAACCCGGGCCCTTCGATCTTCAGGGGAAGCCCTCCTTTCATCTCTGCCAGTTTCACAGGCTCGTCTAGTGGGTACAAGGGAGAGAGCCTTCTCCTCTGTGGCCCCCCCGTCTGAAACTCTTTACCTGCAGATATTAGGAAAGCCCCCACCTTAGAAACCTTTAAAAAGAACCTTAAAACCTGGCTTTTCCGCTGCACCTTTGGTGAGTAGGCACACAACCTCACACTATTGCTCCCCTCAACGTTTTGTCACTGGAGTACACACCCCCCCCCCTTGTGGGAAAGTTTGGTTCAACCTCGTTTTATGAGCTCTCCTTCGCAAATAACCTGCTCCTCTTCTATCTCACCCTGAGTTTTAAACATTTTATCTTGCACATGCGGCCTGCCCATTGTCATTGTGATTATGTATATTGTTTTCTTAGATTGCTCACTGTATTATATGTTTCTATGTAATTATTATGCTGTTGCTTGTGTTTTTGGTTTTATTTTGTTGTAATTTGTTGTTCAGGCTTGGCCTCATGTAAGCCACCCCGAGGCCACGTTGGGGGAGATGGTGGCGGGGTATAAATAAAGATTATTATTATTATTATTATTATTATTATTATTATTATTATTATTGGTTCATATTAGGAAAGCAAGGCACAGAGTGAGACCATTGGTCCATCAATCCTAGTATTATCATCTCTACTTTGCAGTGTCTCTTGATGATTCAGGCAGGATACTTTCTGAGCCATTTCCAAAAATTCCTGGTATTTTCCATCCAATACAAACTAAACATGATGCTGCTTACCTTACAAAATCAGACAAGAGTAAACTTGAACTCTAAAAGAAGAAGAAGTGGGAGATGAGGAGGGGAAGGGGAAGAAGAAGAAACAGCAGCAGCAGCTGTTTGAATGGATGTAGAGAAAGACAGGACCTTAAAATGTTTAGTGTCATTCAGGGCATTTTGAGACAGCTTCATAATATGGGACAAAGAAGTGAGGCAAAAAAGAAATCCAAACTTGGAGATGTCAGTCCTACTAAATGCTCCCCCACCGTCCTGACACATTCATTTGTGGCGGATTTTAGAAATCCGCAAGATGGACAGGGGACATCCGACAGAAGTTTACTTTTACTTTTTTTTAAAATTGATTCTCCAAAATATGCTAGAACTCATAAGCTCTGATGTGGATATCTGAATGTGCACACAAGCAGATTCCTTGTCATTATCTCTCATCCCCCCCCCCCCTGCTGCATTTACTTTTTCCCTTATGAACCCTGCTTTCGTTTTGGGTCGCTTGGCTGCCACGATAGTGCCCACTGTGTAAATTCAAGATATGTTTAATTTCATAAATATGAAAACAAAGAAATGGTTGCAGAGAGTTCTCATGGGAATTGCTTTCCAATTTTGCTTCCATTTAGCCACCTGTGTGTCCATGGCTCCATTTGTTTACAGCTCTCATCAGCTGTTTAAGGATTTTAAAATGTGCACATGTCCTGGTGCAGTCCTTACCAGCGTATAAGGACAAAGTCATGTTTTCCTTGAGTGCAGGGATGTTATGCGAATATGTGCATTTTTCAGCCAAAATTGGACTTTAAGTACACTTTTTAATCATGTGTTATTTGTCTGCTAATGCAATCTAGTGCTCATTTTCGGCAAACATCATTTAGCCACATGCACCCCTTATCCCGGTTCCTTCCGCATTTTAGGGCCTATGTAGAAGGGCCCTCAGTTGAGAGAAATAGTATGGTATATTATTTAGAACTTCAAAATGGGCTTTGAAAGAACTTTGAAACTTATTTAGCAATGAAATACATTGGGTGACCTTGACGCAGTCACTCTCTCTCTCAGCCTGACCTACTTTCCAGAGTTGTGCTGATGATACAAGTGAGGAGGAGGAGGACAGTCATGTGTGCTACTGATCTCACTGGAATAAAAATGAGATAGAAATGTAGCATGACCTTATCAAAGAAAATCCTGCTGTCATGCATGGAAGGCGGCTACTTTCTCTCAGCATATGTGGGTGGCAAGGTGCATTTCACAAAGTTAAAACCTTAGCTGTTTCAGGCGTGTGATCCTCCTTAGATCTGTCTGTTTCAGTGAATTGTGAAAACAACGATGATTTGTTTGTGCATTTCAAACAGGTTATGATCTGGGGCAAATGTTGTTCAAAAGAGGAGAATAAAGAGAATGCCACGGGACTGATACACCTCTGTTCAACAGCCCTGGATGTTGGAGATTCTGTCACTGCTGTTAGTGCCAGTCACGTGCTTGCTTCTGATGGGAGGTATGTTACCAGGGCACTGTTTTGCCAATGACTTCTGATGTTATGTGACTTTTCAAAACCAAGCCACTTGATGCATGTATGATAAAAGATGTCCTTAGGCCACATACAACTCCTAAATCTTTTTTTTTAATCTGATTCCTTCTCCCCTTGATAGTCCTTTAAAGGGGGCAAGGGCGGGATTTATATATTTATCATGTCAGGAGCGAACCAAAACAGTTGTATTAATAACAGACAAACAAACCAACAAAACACAACATTTGCAGACTTAGTATTCTATTAAATGTTCTTTGACCAGTAGCTGGCCACTTGGAGTGACTCTGGTGCTGCTGCAAGAAGGCCCTCCATTGTCGATGTGGCAGGACTCAGGTTGCATTGCAGTAGGTGGTCTGTGGTTTGCTCTGCTCCACACTCGCATGTCGTGGATTCCACTTTGTAGCCCCATTTCTTAAGGTTGGCTCTGCATCTCGTGGCCAGAGCGCAGTCTGTTCAGCGCCTTCCAAGTCAATCAGAGTTCTGTGTGCCCAGGGAGGAGTCTCTCATTTGGTATCAGCCATTGATTGAGGTTCTGGGTTTGAGCCTGCCACTTTTGGACTCTTCGCTTGCTGAGGTGTTCCAGTGAGTGTCTCTGTAGATCTTAGAAAACTATTTCTTGATTTAAGTCGTTGGTGTGCTGGCTGATACTCAAACAGAGGATGGGCCGGAGATGTCACTGCCTTGGTTCTTTCACTATTGGTTGCTACTCCACGGCGGATGTCAGGTGGTGCAATATCAGCTAAACATTGTAATTTCTCCAGTGGTTTAGGGCACAGACATCCTGTGATAATGCGGTGGGATCAAAGTGAATTGCTATTCTGGAACCTCCCAGAAATGGCAATGGGTTTTAAGTAGGTTTGCCATGCCATCACAAAACACCTTTTCTTCAAAACTAGAAGTTATTTTGAACTAACTTCTTACTTTTGTTTTGTATGGGCATTTTTGGCCATTCCTCTGGCCTCTCCAACATCCCAGTGAAGAAAATTGGTCCCCAGTTATAGCCAAATTAATTCACTCCCTCTTGTTTCTACAGAATGATTCAAAGTTTTGTTTATACCTTTGCTTTCTTGTCGTTTTGCAACCCAAATTCATTTTCCTGGTTAACACACATGACATGTTGTGCGATTTTCTCTCTCTTATGAAACATTACCAGTAAAAAAAGGCCATTACAGGAACCATTTTACTTCAGTTATATGTACTTAAACGAAGGGTGGGAGTCATGGTATAACTCATGATAGGGTTATTGAAGTCAATGCTGGTCCCACAAAGGGCCAGTGTGATCTAGTGGACTGCTACTGACAGTGGTGGATCATGGAGTGATGCTGGTTAATGAAACGTTGGCTGCTGCTCTGCATCACATTTCCAGGACAGAAAGAAATGATTGTAGTCAGTGAGCACAAATGCAGTTGTCATGCCCCCAAAGAGGCTTTTACCCTGTTCCTTTAAGAAACCCCTGTCACGCCTCCCTGCCCCAAGGTGGAGCTTGCAGTCCTTTGCAGCCAGTCATTCTGATGGTGCCAAGAAGCCCAGAGGCTCCTCCATGTCAAGAGTTGAGGAAACTAATTTTCAGACTTCGAGAAACAAGTTCTAAGTATTTAGGAACCAAGTCTAGAGTCTGAAGAAGAAAAGAGACATAAATAAGAGGTTATGACATAAGTCAAATCCAGAGAAAGAACACAAGAAAGAGGATCTCTTTGGAAGGAATTGAGAGAGTCCCAGTTAAATTCAGAACTTCAATCTGTTCCATCAAGTAATCGTTTGTTGGTCGGACTCCGGGAGGAGTTAGGGTGTTGATCTTCAATATAATTAAATTCCTTTTAGTTTACTGTTACCATGAGCTCTGCAAGTGCAGCATTTTTCCGAATGAAGCAGAGAGTGTTTGAGCAAAGTAAAGACTTTCTGTATATATTTCAGATTTCAGTATTAATGTCAAAAATACGTAGAATGATTTTACATAGGATTTGTGCTACATTAGAGCAGTCAAGACAAATATCACTTAAGTAAAATAAACATCCATAGGGATACCAAGGTGCTTGTTTATAAAGCCATTGTTCTCTCAACCCAACTATACACCTGTGAGACGTGGACTATCTACAGATGTCACATGCAACTCCTAGAACGATTCCATCAGCGTTGCCTCCTGAAAAATCCTGCAAATCTCTTGGGAAGACAAGCGGACAAATGTCAGCATGCTGAAAGAAGCAAAGACCACCAGCATTGAAGCGATGGTCTTCCGCCATCAACTCCGCTGGACCGGCCACGTTGTCCGGATGCCCAACCACCGTCTCCCAAAACAGTTGCTCTACTCCGAACTCAAGAACGGAAAACAGAATGTTGGTGGGCAGGAAAAGAGATTTAAAGATGGGCTCAAAGCCAACCTTAAAAACTCTGGCATAGACACTGAGAACTGGGAAGCCCTGGCCCTTGAGCGCTCCAGCTGGAGGTCAGCTGTGACCAGCAGTGCTGTAGAATTTGAAGAGGCACGAATGGAGGGTGAAAGAGAGAAACGTGCCAAGAGGAAGGCGCATCAAGCCCAATCGGGACCGCCTTCCACCTGGAAACCAATGCCCTCACTGTGGGAAAACATGTAGATCAAGAATAGGGCTCCACAGTCAAGAGCCCACAATACATCAGGAATAAAAACAATAACAACAAGGAATACAAACAATAAAAATAAAACTCCTAACAGAAAATAAGCAATAAACATTAACAGTAACACAACAACGTTTAAAAACCTGGCTTCAGCAAATGTATATGTTCCTGGGAATGCCTCCTGACACAACATGTTGTCGTATTTGTCAACCAGTAAATTGAATCTGGGTTGAGGATAGACAAAGTGATAATATATGGGTTAGAAATGGGGTGCATGGGGTGCATATTCTTGCTTTTTGTACTTAAATCCTCCATTTTCACCCATCTCACCAGTCTTCATAAGACACTCTTTCAATACTACTCAGTCTTCCTCATCCCCTCTTTTGATGCAACCTCAAAAGTGTGCAGTGCTTATGGGATGCATTTTTGTGGCTTATTTTTTAAAACAATTTCATGAAACTTGGCTATATTTAAGTAGATGCCGATTCTTACATATGAACAAATTGGGGTGGGGGTGGGGGGCAACCATTCTAGCTTTTACAGGAGATGATTGAACATATGTCCTGTGCTTAGAAAGGAGGCACGTGGCTGTAACATACCCTCTTTATAATCCATATTGGCAGATGTACACCTTTATAACTCATTAAATCTGAATTATGCAGATGAGCTTAAAGTTCTCTTTGGCTTTGCTGCTTATAATAACATGTAGTTCTTGTTCTGTGTTCAGTTGCATGTTCTCCTGCGTAGAATTGGAAACTGGCAATTAAAATGTGCAACATGATTCAAAAGTTACATATGTGGGATTGGGTAAGAGGTGGCATAATAACCAAAACATTGCCCTCTTTTGGTAGCTACATCATTGCAATAGGGACAGAAAGTGGGAAGATTTACTTGTACAAATGGAAACCAGGAGACAACGAGAAGCTGCCACTATCTGATTGGACCAAATGTGCTGAGACAAATGACAGGTAACTCACCCCAAACCTTTTATGTCCAAAATAAGCAAAATTATGATTGTATGGATGCCTTGTTGGCTGTGCTAGAGTTATTTTATTGGTTCCATGGGCCTTTTTGGAGAGTGGCGGGTTAGACAAATTTGCATTTTCAGAACGAGGTGCTAGAACTGTGTGTTGTCTAGGAGTGTGAGCTGGAAAGGCTGGTTTAAATCCTCCCTCCGTGAATAAGTGTTGAGAGGGCTGCTTCCACTGACAGTCTCACCCTCCCACCACCAATATGGAAATTAAAATATTTACTCACCTTAAACGATAGTTGTAAAGATTGCTAAGTAGGGCTCTGAACACTTTGAGTGCATTACACAAATGCCAAGTGTTTAGTTTCATGTGATGATAATGATGACAGTATCCAGTACTGGGTTTATGCAAGAGAATTCCTCATCCATGTCAGCCCAAAGTGCCTACCCCACAAGACTTTGATTTTGGGGTTCCCAAGGAATGGCCAGAAATATGGGCAGGAGGGGATGGAGTGGGCATGAGGAGTCAATGGAAATCAGTTGCATGAGCAACAAATGGCCCCCGTCCCATTTCTCCCCCACCTCACATCCTTCCTTTTCTAGCTGTTCTATTGTTCTCCCTTCTTTTTCATATTCACATTTCATGAGGATCTCTGGACACTTCCAACTTTACACAAGAGAAACACTTTTTTGGAAAACCAGAATCTCCATAACCTTTTCGAGAAAAAATGGCGTTCACGACCATTTGAAAATCATAAATTTTGTAAAAAATGATCTTCCAGAGAAGAGCCAAAAATCTCATTTGAGTAAATCTTCTCTTCAGTGGTATATAACCACATATACTTATGCAAGGCAATTTGGTTTCCAGTTGTTAGACTGATAACCTACCCGTATATTCCGGCATATAAGACGACTGGGCGTATAAGATGACCCCCAACTTTCCCAGTTAAAATATAGAGTTTGGGATATATTCGCCGTATAAGACTACCCCTCTTCCAACGCACACCAAATAAAATTTTTAAAAGCATCAGATTTGATTTCAATATGGTAATTTTCCTATTACTGTACCTCCTTCTCTGCCTCTCAGATCTCGCACCACTTCACTGCAGTCTTCAGGAGCGAGATCTGAGAGGCAGAGGAGGAGGTATGGTAATAGGATACAAGGGCGTGCCAGACAGGTAAAAGAGTTGTTTTTTTCTGGGCCCAGAGCCACTCTATCTCTTTTTTCCATACTCCGGGTGCCCCAGATGCCTGCAGCTTGCTCCGCCCTTCACTTACACCTTCCTGGTGAGGCGCCCCTTCACCTCACCATCGGGACCACATTAAGTCCACGAATCCTGATGAATGGATTTTCTTCTACCATACTTGTACAGCGTCGCCCTTAATGCTTTCATACAGTCACTGCATATGGCAGGGACGCAGCCACTGCCATTTTTGAGCTTCCCCCACCATATGCGGCAACCACAGATTCTCCAATCCGATTGGAAGTTTCAGCACCCGCTCTATAAGACGACTCTTGGCATATAAGATGACTCCCACGTATAAGACAATCCCTGACTTTTGAGAAGATTTTCTTGGGGGGTCAAAAAGTAGTCTTATACACCAGAATATACGGCAGTTGTTTCTGATCTGTTACAAACAGAGATCATGCCAATGTACAAAATATAGCAGTTCTTCAGTGCCCAAAAACATATCTGCTCTCTCATAACAATCTTTTTTCTATATCATGCTCTCAAGAGATAAAAACAAAATAGACTTGGTTAAAAGTAACATATCTGGTTTACTCACAACCTTCATGTATTCAGCATACAGGTACATAACTTGTCAATCCAGTTACTGATAGGTTTTGAAGTGGTTTCTGTGCAGATAACACAGGGGCATCTTTCTTAGACTCAACAGCAAATTATCTTTACTTTCTGATAGTCTAATAGAGTCTGTCCTATAAAATGGAGTCTGAGCTCTGAGCAGTCTCAGATCTGATCATGTGTCTGCAGCCCCTCCCACAACCTCAAAAAATATAGGGTAAAGGAAAGCTGCATACCAACACATACATATACAATACAGTAAGCAAAACAGAATCATATACAAGCAAATTACGAGCGGAACCTTGAAGGTTGCTATTTCCTACACACTTGTCTTTGAAAAGTAGGGTACAAGATACTACAGAAGCAGAATCAATATGGAAGCGTATTATTGTTTTGGATAACTGCCGCTGCATAGTTTCTGTGAGCTTTCGTCTCCTCTTCTTTCCAGGTAGCACTTAACTCTAGCATACTTAATTCTGCTCATCTAGAGTTCAACTAAGTATGTCAGTCCACAACATTAAAAATAAATATTGGTTTCAGTTCAATTCTATTCACTTATTGTTAGAATTGTTCTGTTCCATTCCAGATATGAGAGTACTTAATTATATTTGTGAAAGGTTGATTCAGATCATTGCAAACTCAGTATTGTATCACTGGTTAACATTGTGACCTAGTATCATACTGATAGCATTTTGGGCATTGCATAATTATAGCCTTTGGATTCGGAGTCACAATTGCTCTACAGATAAAAGTTATTTAAGGCTAGCTTTCCCTTTACCTGGACAACCCTTTCTTCTGTATTTTCCAAAAGTAAGGAGGAGACAGAAAGGTTGAGTAGTATACCATGAGAGTGGAGCATTTTTTTATTCCCCAGCAAAAAGTTGCCATCTCTCCATCTCCCAGACTGTTTATTATCGTAGTTTGGTCCACATTAAGTTGCAGAACTGCAGTAGCAAATGGCCTCTGTTTTGCCTTGTGCTCTTCTCGACGAGGGCAAGAATATTAATGATGCTTGGCCTTTATATGGCTCTGTGAGGAATCTATGGTGCTTCACATGACATGATCTTACTGTAATTCTTTTATCAGCTTCGAAAAGTAGGCCAACCTCCCTATATAGCAAATATTGGCTTGGGGTGAGAGAGGCAGAAGAGAAGGTTAACAATTACATTCATGAATTTATGGTGTTGGGATCCAGCTCTCACACCAGTTATATAATATTCCAGGTTGTTACAGGAAGCGGTCAACCCCCCCTGTTTAAACAGCTCCACTGGCTTCCAATAAGATTTTGGTCCCAATTCAAGGTACAGGTTATCACCTACAAAGCCCTAAATGGTTCTGGACCTACCTCTCTTCGCAATCGGATCTTCCCCTATGAACCAGCACATACCTTAAGATCATCCGGGGAGGCTCTTCTCTCACTTCCACCGCCATCTCAAACACAAAAGGTGGGGACAAGGGAGAGTGCCTTCTCAGTGGTGGCCCCCCAGCTCTGGAACTCCCTCCCTAGGCTGATCAGACAAGCACCCACCTTGGCCATTTTCCACAAGGACGTAAAAATTTGGATGTTCCATTGTGCTTTTGATTAGGCAGTTTACCAGGGAACTGTCTCGACCCTATTTAAACTCCCGCACTTTAGTTTGGCCCTCCTCCCAGTAACCTCAACATTTTACGGCTAAAGGTATTCCCTCTAGCCTGGCCCATTTGAATTTTTGCACTTTCCCCTGCTATACTTAGGAATCATTGCACTTACTTGAGCCCGGACCCAACTTCAATTTTGTTTTCAGCCATGATACTGTTTTTATGATGTTGTCGTGATTATGTTACGTTTTTATTTAATTGATTTTAATGTGGTTGTTTTTATCTGTAATTTTTGGACTTGTCCCCTTGTAAGCCGCCCCGGATCCCCTTGGGGAGATGGTGGCGGGGTATAAAAATAAAGTTTTGTTGTTGTTTATTCGTTCAGTCGCTTCCAACTCTTTGTGACCTCATGGACCAGCCCACGCCAGAGCTCCCTGTCGGCTGTCACCACCCCCAGCTCCTTCAGAGTCATGCCAGTCACTTCAATGATACCATCCATCCATCTTGCCCTTGGTCGGCCTATAAAGAATCACACCACTGTACCAATTATAACAAACTGTGGGGAAAAGAAGGGAACTCTATTCGATAATAAAAGTCCCAACGCTGCTCCACTAAAATTATAATCACCTCACAGCAGCCTACCAAATTATAATGATGACACCTCTACAGATTAGCTCACCAAAAATATAGAGGGAGAATAGTTGTTGAACCAACTGTATATTACAAGCTAGGAACTGGGAACCACTGGAACTGTGAGACTTGAAAGAATTCTTTAAAAGGTTTCTGCTGCCACCATATTACTAAAGAACAGGTTGAGGTACTATTACTCTCTCTGTGTTACTCTAGTTTTCTTAGAAGCTGGTAAAAAGCTGACTTGAATAGCACTTTTACCTCAAAGGTATTCACACTGAGGCTGGTATAAGTTGGTAAAAATAACAAGAACTTTATTTGAACAGACTTGGATATTTCAGGTACAAATGCTTGATGGTTTTAGTAAAAATCTGGCATAAAAAGCTTGTAGTTACGTTTGAGAAGAGATCTTAAAAACTTCTGGGTTACAAGTCTTAAAGTTTCCACACAGAAAATTACTTCAGGAAATGAATCTCTGAAAGTAACTCCCACAAAAATCCCCCTTAGGAACCTAGCCAAAACCTGAACTAGCCTTCCTTAAGGAAAAGAACAGACCACTGATGGGGTTCTGCTCCCCACAGTATTCTAGCTATACTTCTCTATAGCTACCCTGAATACTAAACAAAAGACTGACCCAAAGTTCTTCTCCAAAGCCCCAAACTGCTCTCACTAACATCATTTCCAAGCTCCAACTCTCAACTGGCAAACTGGGAAACTCAAGTCTCAGTTTAAAAGTCACTTTTTTTTCCTTCAGATCACTTAGGCCCCATAGTTCTAACCAATCCTAGTGGTCTAACTTTCCCTTCAAGACTAGAACACGTCCCCTTAAGGCAAACCTAACCTAAGATGGCGTCTCCATGTCTCCCTTCTCCAAAGTGGATGCTGTGGCTCAGCCAGGCCCACTCCCTTAGGCCTAAGCTAGCCTGCCAAGGTAAGGGATTCATTACATGCCCCCTCTTCCTTTTTCCTTCCATTTTCCCCGGCATCATTGTTTTTTCTAAGCTTTCCTTTCTTCTCATGATGTGGCCAAAGTACTTCATCTTTGCCTCTAATATCCTTCCCTCCAATGAGCAGTTGGGCTTTATTTCCTGAAGTATGGACTGGTTGGATCTTCTTGCGGGTTACAATGGCACTCTCAGAATTTTCCTCCAATACCACAGTTCAAAATCTTCCTTTGCTCAGACATTATTATTATTATATTATATTATATTATTATTATTATTATTATTATTATTCCTCTCACACGAGTGGCCGCATTTCTGTGTACGAACCCACACGATCTTTTCGATCATCTGGAGAGTCCCTGCTCTCTCTCCCGCCCCCTTCACAGGCGCGATTGGTGTGGACGAGGGAGAGGGCCTTCTCTGTGGTGGCCCCCCGACTCTGGAACTCACTTCCTAAGGATATCAGGCAAGCCCCCACATTGGCAGTCTTTAGGAGGAGCCTGAAAACATGACTGGTCCGGTGTGCCTTCCCTGAATAAGGAAATAATCCCTAGCAAAATGTCCTCAGAAGCACTTTAACTACTCGTTGGGTTGTTCTCCCTTCATTTCTTTTAAAACCCTCCTATCAGATACATCCTTCCTCTGTTCATGCCCAGCATTTATTTTTAAAATTTTAAATTATTACATTTGGCCAGGCCATAGTTTTTTTTAAAAAAAATCCTTGTGAGTTACTGTTTATATGTGAGTTATATTAATGGTATTGTTTTTGCTTATTGTTTTTTGTTCTATTGATGTGTTGTCGGGCTTGAGCTCATGTAAGCCGCTCCGAGTCCCCTTGGGGAGATGGTGGCGGGGTATAAATAAAGATGATGATGATGTTGATGATGATGATGATGATTATGATTATGATTATGATTATTATTATTATTATATACTATTCTCACATGTTGGCTGTTTGTAGTCATTGTTGTTACTTGTTTGGGCCAGCCCACATTCCTGCAAACTGTCTTTTTTCAAATATTTACTCTTCCTTGAACTTTGTAGTTTGAATTTCAAGTTCAGTGTTATCTGAGGACCCGAAAAAACATTGAACTACACTTCATTTTGGCTCAATAGCTGTAGTGTTTATGCACAGGGATGTAGCATGGGTGCCATGGGCCATGAGTCATTCCGTAAGCTCCCGATGACAACACGAAATTGACATTTTGTTGTTGTTGAAAACAAGACGTGCAGCTTGGTGCCCTGGAAGACTTGCAGAAGTGCCGTGTTCACCAGAAACTAGGTGCGGAAATGTGTTGACTTTAGATGCAAATAATTCCCCTGGTATACCATGATGGCATACTTGGCAGCAATAGCAGGGGACAGTCCCCCAATTCCCATCTTATGCAGTTCCAGAGAGGGCTGCTTTGCCTTCTTTGCTATGGGAGAGTCCCCCCCCCCCCCGCCAGATACAGATTGTGACCCTTTTCCTTCTTCTCCAGAAATTGGTTGGTCTCAGTTGACCAATTGTAAGTGTATCTTGGGGCTCACAACATGTACAGAATATATGTGTTTCCTTAACTGCTCTAGTTTTGTTCTTTTTTTGATAGGCAGCTGTTCAGTTCAGTCATGAGTTCAGTCATCAGACGCAGAGATCTAAAGTGATGTGCAAGCAATAGGAGCCAGACCTTGTGTGGATAGGGACAGGGTTTTTTAAAATGCCAGAATCCAGAGGGCTTGTACAATAAAGGCATATCCATGGTGGTTTTAAGTCCTGTGGCTTTTGAGTTCTGGCTTGTAACTGCAGTTCTAAAGGCCTTGAGAGACTTGAAATGTTTGCGTTTCTTCCCATGCAGTTAACTTTTCCATTCATCGCAATGGTCCCACAGGGCTCCTGAGCGTACCAGCAGCGTCTGTTCTTCCTTCCAGTGATCTGCCTGGCTACACATTCAGCCCTCACCGTAACATAGAGTCCATTGGGGCATCTGTCCTTGGCACAATAACTAGACTTTGCATAGTTTCATTGCTGTGTAGCTTGACTCCTGCTCGTAACTACACCTCACAGTCCAGCTTATTAAGCAGGCATTAACTCTGTAAGCAGTTCTGTGTTGCAGACTGGGAATGGTAGCTTCCTAGTCCTTGCAGAAGCTTTCCAACTCTGGAGTAAGCTGCAAGAGATGGAATAAGAGCTAATATTTGTTTTCCATATTCAAAGCACATGGGGGAGATTTGGAAATTAGGTCGATGATTATCTTTTCCCACAATTTATGGGTTGTGAGAGACCTAGACTTTCTTCTAAATTGGATGCAACCAGAGACCATAAATAAGCTAGTGGTTTGATTCCACAAGGTTGTACTTGGATTATCCCCTTCCCTCTACATTTTCAGTAAGCATAGCTTGCTTTGATTACTGAAAATCAACAACCCATAGCTTGCTTTGACATCTGAATTGCTAGCATGCTGTTAGGACCTTGTCTTCAGCCCACAGTTTAAAATTGACTTGAACTGTGTGTATAAACTACTTGCAAAGGCAGGCATGTAGCCTTTGGGGGGAGGGTGGGCTTGAGGGGCTTCAGCCCCCCCCCCCGAAATTCTCATGGTGGTCCGGGAGAAGGCCTTACTGGTACATTATTTAAACTGTTATGTTTATTCATATCATGATCTGATCACCATGCTCAATATATCCCATATGCATGGGGTATTGGGGTAACGATACAAAAGGTTTGCTAGGGTAGACCCTCTTTCACTCAGACTAAGCCCAGCCCCCCCAAATCAAACTCAGCCCCCCCCCCCCCCGAATCAAAATCCTGGCTCTGGGCCTGTGCAAAGGTATACAACTTCACAAAGTTTTATTTACCCTACTCCACCTTGTGCTGCTACTTGCTTTTTCTTTCTCTGCCCTTAGATTCTTTTTCTTAGGGCCCTTCCACACAGCCATATAACCCAGAATATCAAGGCAGATCATTCACAATATCTGCTTTGAACTGGGTTATCTGAGTCCACACTGGCATATAATCCAGTTCAAGCACTGGACTGGGAGTCAGCTGCATTAAGATCACTACTGACTGAAAAGTCATGAGTTCGAAGCCAGCCCAGGTCGGAGTGAGCTTCTGACCAATTTGTGTAGCTTGTTGTCGACCTTTGCAGCCCGAAAGACAGTTGCATCTGTCAAGTAGGAAATTAAGGTACCACTTATGCGGGGAGGCTAATTTAACTAATTTACGAGGCCGTAAAAATCTCCAGCAAGTATGCAAAGAATGAGGAAGTACTTCAGTGTCACAAATGGACAGTGAAATTACAGCTCCCCTGGTGGCCAGAATACTCATGAAAAAGCTGGATTGTTAAATAGCCTCTGAGTGTCTGTCAATATATGTTGTGTGTCTGTGGCATTGAATGTTTGCCATGTATATGTACATTTTAATCCACCCTGAATCCCCTGCAGAGTGAGAAGACGCATAATATAAATACTGTAAATAATAATAATAATAATAATAATAATAATAATAATAATATCAAAGCAGATAATGTGAGATTTTATTCGTCTGCATGGAAGGGGTCCGGGTTTCACACGCGTGTAGTTATCGCAGATAGACGTACCTTCTCTTGGTTTGGAGGCAAAGACAGGCAACCAATGTGAATGTCAGAGTTTTCTGAAAAGGATGGTTAAATGTGACTGGGATGATTGGGAAGGACCACACGAGCCATTTAGGGCATCCCTTAATGCTATGAACCTCACTTTGGGTTACGTCTGAATACAGCCTTCGTTTTGAACTGAAACATTCTCTGACTCGTCATTGAAAATGTTCGCACCGACACAACTCCTTGCTCTCTGTTAGCCACATCATTTCGTAATAGTGATGTTTGACCTGAAATTGCAGTGAAAATCATAGATTGCCGTTTGAATGGTTGATGGGACGGAGCGAGAAAAATGTCACTTGAGCCGGTAATAGCTCTGCCATTTTAATATCTACAGGCACTGACAACTTTTAGCTTTTCTCCAAGCTGGCCGCGGCGAAATGAATGCGCTAATTAGATAAATGCTGACGTTTTTGAATTGACAGAGTCCAGCTGAGTTTGACATTTTGCAGTTGGGAGAGATGAATTGGGTTTCCTTCCGCTAATAGCTTCTGTCTTTGTTGCAGCCAAAGCCACACTCTTGTTGTCAAGCAGCTGTGCTGGAGAAAATGCGTGGGCAGAGCTGGGCAGGACGCAGCGGCAGAGAGCACCGAATGGCTCCAGCTGGCGAGCGCTGGGGCCGACTGCTGTGTCAAGATCTTCAATATTAATAGAGGCGGGCTTTAGACAATGCCTTTGGAGCCAGATGGGCCGATTTCTTGACATGCCGGAATATGCTCCCTTTCCTAAGCAGATACACACACACACACAAGCTGTGCCCGCCACACATTGCTGTGGCCAACCTTCCCTCCCTCTTTCTCTCCTTCTTTCCCTCCTTCCTTCGCTCCCTCTTTCCTTCTCCTTTCTTCTTTCCTTCTCTCCTTCTTTCTCTACCTTTCCTTCCTCCCTTTTTCTTTTCCTTCCCCTTCTCTCCTTTCTTCCTTCTCTACCTCTTTCCCTCCTTCCTTTGCTCCCTCTTTCCTTCCTTTCCTTTTTTCTTTCCTTCTCTCATTCCTTCTCTATCTCTTTCCTTCCCCCTTTTTCTTTTCCTTTCTCTTTCCTTCTCTACCACTTTCCTTTCTTCCTTTGCTTTTTGCTTGCATCCTTCCTTCTGTCTTTCATTCCCTCCCTTTTTCTCTCGTTCTTTCTCTTCTTCTTTCTCTCCCTCTCCCTCTTCCCTTCCTTTCCTTTTTTCTTTCCTTCTCTCCTTCCTTTCTTCTCTACCTCTTTCTTTCCATCCCCCTTTTTCTTTTCCTCTTTCTCTTTCCCTCTCTACCTCTTTCCTTCCTTCCTTTGCTTTTTGCTTCCATTCTTTCTTCTGTCTTTACTTCCTTTCCTTTCCTTCCATTCCTTTTTCTTTCCTTCTCTCCTTCCTTCCTTCTCTATCTCTTTCTTTCCTTCCCCCTTTTCTTTTCCTCCTTCTCTTTCCTTCTCTACCTCTTTCCTTCCTTTGCTTTTTGCTTCCATCCTTCCTTCTCTCTTTACTTCCCTCTCTTTTTCTCTCTTTCTCTTCTTCCTCTTCTCTCTTTCCTTCCTTTCCTTTTTTCTTTCTCTTCTCTTCCTTCTCTACCTCTTTCTTTCCTTCCCCCTTTTTCTTTTCCTCTTTCTCTTTCCTTCTCTACCTCTTTCTGTTCTTCCATTGCTTTTTGCTTCCATCCTTCCTTCTGTCTTTACTTCCCTCTTTCTCTCTTTCTCTTCTTCCTTTGCTCCCTCTTTCCTTCCTTTCCTTGTTGCCTTCTCTCCTTCCTTCTTTCTCTACCCCTTTCTTTCCATTCCTTTTCTTTTCCTCTTTCCCTCCTTTCTTCCTTCTCTACCTCTTTCCTTCCTTCCTTTGCTCTTTGCTTCCATGCTTCCTTCTCTCTTTCTTTCTTTCTCCCCTTCCTTCCCTCCCTCTTCCTTCCCTTTTCCTTCCCTTTTTTTTCTATATCATCATTTAGCTTTTCGTGGTTTTTAAGTCCTTTCCACTGTTTTTTTGGGGAGGTTTATGAGTGATGGCCACTCGTTGGTCTGTTAGGGGTGTAGTGTCCAAATTTTGTGTCATTTCCTCCAGTGGTTTTTGAGTTATGTTAGTCCCACAAACAAACATTACATTTTTATTTATATAAATACCCCCCCCACACACACACACATGTATGTATGTCTTAAACGTTTTTTCTTTTTTTGTACTTAAAGCTGTAGCAACGGACACATGTATAGAATCACCTTATTTATTAAAGTGGTTTGAGTACATAGCATGTGTTCTCCATGAGTGGACTTTCTTCATGGAAGGCCTCCATAGCTCCAGAACACTGCTTTTGACGAGATGCCCATCTGTCAGGAACAGAGGTGGGTGGCGTGGAAGGACGGCGCTGGGGAGAAGACAGCTTGCCTTCACCCACTTCCTTTGCTTTGGCACAAACACATATTCTCTTCCTAGACATGCAGCTTATCAGATGGGGCTATTGTGCGCCTGAGCGATGCCTGGGGCTTTGTCTTGGTCTGGGTTCTATTATGGAGGGGTTTTCATGGAAATTAATTTGAAAATGCTTTGCAACTTTGATTTTCAGATAAATGGGTATTTGTTAAGGTTGCGCTATTCAGTGGTGATTTGCAAGATCACCTGATCAAAGGAGCTTGCCAGATCTTGGTCAGGATGGGGAAGGAGGAAAGATTTTTCCACTCCCACTCTCCACTGCACCACATTTAATAATTAAAATCCCTTTCATGGCTGTGCAGGGGACAGCGGAAGGAATTTCCACTTGGGAAAGTTAACCTTTCATTCTCCAGTACTGCAATCCTTCCACATAGATGGGCCCTTCCCCACCACTACTTGCCTTTTGGGGAGGGGTCTCTATCAGGATCTGCATTCAGAGTTTGCTTTAATAATAATAATAATAATAATAATAATAATAATAATTCAACATCCAGCAGAGTGTCTGCTGTGGACTCATCTTGTTGTGTTTCAAATAATAATAATAATAATAATAATAATCTTTATTTAGGTTGTTGTAGTTTTTTCGGGCTATATGGCCATGGTCTAGAGGCATTCTCTCCTGATGTTTCACCTGCATCTATGGCAAGCACCTCTGACGATGCTTGCCATAGATGCAGGCGAAATGTCAGGAGAGAATGCCTCTAAAACATAGCCATATAGCCCGAAAAAACTACGACAACCCAGTGATTCTGGCCATGAAAGTCTTTGACAATACAAAATACTTTATTTATACCCCGCCACCATCTCCCCAAAGGGGACTCGGAGCAGCTTACATGAGGCCAGGCCCAGCGATACATTACAGCAACATAAAATATAAACAACAAAATAACATCACAGTAAAATAAATAAACCATCAAGTAAAATAAACAGTACAAAATAACATAATGGAAAATCAAGCACAGTGGGCGGGCCAAATGCACGACATAAAATGATAAAACTCTGGATGAGATAGCAATGAAAAGGTACATTTATGAGGGAGGAGCTCATAAGGGACTGAATGGCAGCTAGAGGAGTCTTTCCAAGGATATCAACTCTGTGGATGGAAAAGGTAATGCTGTAATATATCGCTCAAAATTTGCTTGTCATAGGAGGCAATCTGATTTTTGAATGTATTTATTTCATGACAAAAGCATTGCATATAAGTATAAAAAATAGAGGGAACACAAGCGGTTAAATAATTTTAGACCAAAAATGGGCAGCAGTGACTGCATTGTTTGTAGCTTCCTTTGTGCATGAGGCAGGATATAGTGGACAAGCATACAGATGCAGAGTTGTTTGTTCTACTCCACAGTTGCACAAAGTGTGGGATTCTTCTAGATAGTGCCATTTTGCCAAGTTGTCTTTTGATCTGTCCATTCTGCTTCTGAGGCTGTTCAGTGACTTCCAAGTTGTCCATTCTTGGTTTGTCCCTGGAGACAGACCCGGGGGAGTCATTCATTTGGGATTTCCTAGTTTACCTGCCCACAGGGATACTCTTGCTGTTGCTGGAGGAACGGTAAGATGAGTGGTAGTTTTCAAAAACACTTTTCCTTGATTTGAGTACTGGGAGGAGGCTGATAGTCTTGCAGTGGATGGCTTTCATAGTGTTCAACCTTATTTCTCTCACAGTTAGCAGCAATTTCCCTTCGCACATTGGGGAGGGCAATGCAAGCAAGCTTGTAGAGTTTATCAACAGGTGCAGGTTTGAAACATCCTGTGATTATTCTGCATGTGTTATTCAATGCTGTGATCACCTGCTTCACATGGGCAAACTTGTGCCAAAGAGGGCAGGCATACTCGACAGTTGAGTAAGACAAGGCTAGGGCTGATGCTCTTATTAATTTTAGGTCTGGTCCAGATTACTTGTCCGAAGATATCTCCTACTATGAACTATCACAAAGCTTAAGATTGTCAGGAGAGGCCCTGCTCCCGATCCCATCATTCTCGCAAATGCTGTTGGTGGAGACGAGAGACGGCCTTCTCGGCAGTGGCCCCCCGTCTGTGAAACTCTCTCCCTAAGGACATCAGGTTGGCCACCTCCCTCCTGTCTAGAAGACAACTGGGGCCAGGCGTTTGATTAGATAATAGCGACAATAGGAAAAGGAATTCTGGATTTTGTGACATTGGATTTTCCCGCTTGATTTTTGGTTTTACTGGCATGCTAAGTTATTGTTAAATAAATTTATTGGTGCTTCGTATAATGTTTTAAAATGTTTTTACTGTTTTAATTGTAATTCTTATGTTATATATGTTGTTAGCATCGTTGATGCCTATGTGAGGCCGCCCTGAGTCCCCCTTGTGGGGAGAAGGGCGGGATAGAAATGTACGAAATAAATAAATAAATCTGCACTCCATGCACTGCCAATATGTTTCCTGAGTATGTTATTGCAATATGTTATCCTGAGTACTTTGTGGTTGGTGTTCATGCAGTGTTTCCTAAATGTTAGTGTTCGATCTAAGGTGCCACCAAGGTATTTAGGATGTAAACAGTGTTCAAGTTCTTAGCCTTCCAAATTTTTGAACAAAAAACTCCATAGGTCCCAATGGAAGTATTTTCCTAGCCCCATTGCAATGACGGAGAAGGACATTTTTAGGAATGGGGAATGTCTGTATCTGAATAGGTGAATGTGGCCTGGGCAATCTAGTTTGGGGACTATGTATCAGCAGTAGGATGGTCCCTTGCTCATTTTGGATATAGGCCCACCTGCTGGCATGAGCCCCCAACATGTTTGTCTGAAGTCAGTTTATTCCTGGTGGTCTGCTACTGTTTGATTCAGAAGACAGAGTAGGAAATATTCAGTTCTAAGACATTTCTTACTCTTGCATCTTACATTATTCCTTTCTTCTACGTGCTTGTCTGATTAGTTCTTCAAAATGATTTTTAGTCACTAGAAACCATGGTGTAGTTTGCTTGCTAGCATGTACAATTGTTTACAGTGGTTGATAAAAAAAATATGTGGGCTATTGCTGTATTGCTTTGAATGCAATTTTCCTGCTTCTTGGGCAGAGGGTTGGACCGGATGGCCCATGAGGTCTCTTCCAATTCTAGGATTATTGGTATCAGGATAAAAGTGACACCAAAGAAGGGTTCCCAAGATGCACCATAACCTGCAAAATTGTTTTATCGTGAAGCTTTAGGTCAGGGGGTCCTCAAACTATGGTCCAGGGGCCAGATACGGCCCTCCAAGGTCATTTATCTGGTCCTCACTTAGGGTCAAACTAAGTCTGAAATGACTTGAAAGCACACAACAACAACAACAATCCTATCTCATCAGCCAAAAGCAGGCCCACACTTCCCATTGAGATACTAATCTTATATTTGTTAAACTTGTTCTTCATTTTAATTATTGTATTATTTTAAAGTGTTTTTTGAAGGACAAGTAAGATATGTGCACTGTGCATAGGAATTCATTAATGTTTTTTTCAAATTATAATCCGGCCCTCCAACAGTTTGAGGGACTGTGACCTGGCCCTCTGTTTAAAAAGTTTGAGGACCCCTCTTTAGGTCATAGTCTGGTCAGTGCCTGAAAATCATTCATTAGAAATAAGAGGATGGCTTGTGTTTGATTTTTAAGTAACCCAAAGGCCAATGTAATTTCTCTTGGTGTTAAAACATTGACAGTGTTATGGTTTCGAGTTATGAAAAATGTCAACCCCCCTCCCCTTTAACTCACGACAGCAAGTGAGGATTTGGGGATTTTATTCTTTAGGACATGAAAGGTATATGTAGTTGAGTTTTCAAAATGAAGAATATTGCATTATGAACATATTCATAATCAATAATAGAAAACAATTTTAAAAATTCACTTAAGTAATAGTAGTAGCAGCAGATGGCACTCAATATTTCAGTTAACCTAGAATTAATGCATCTGTAACTGCTCTGTATTCAGTAATGCTAAGAAGTCTTAATGCAAAATTACATAAATGTTCCTCTCTCATCCACCAGCAGCCAGATTGAGTGAAGGAGGCATACTCAGCTGGTGATATCTGGGAGAAGAAAGATGACATTTCTACCTCCTGCAAGTGAGGGCTCCTGCTTCTGATTGTTGCA